GGCGACACCGACGCCCAAGCGTGGTGATCGCGCCCACGCGGCCAACCAGCCTGAAACCGTGTCGTGCACGAATTTTAAATCGCTTATAAAAACTAAACGGTTGCTTCATGAGCCAAACCATCCTCTTCATGCTCAAGATGACATATAAGACTACCAAATCGAGTTATAACACTGCACCTTCCCTTAACCCAATCTCTTAAAATAATTTGCTAAACATAATAATGTCAAGCTGTTGACAAACTTGGAAATTTTTCTAAGTTTTGAGCTTAATTTGATTTTAATTTGCAATTTCTAAGCTAGTAGAAATATTAGCTAGTAATATCATTTTTCGACAGCAAGTATTTCACTGTCATCTATAAAGTTTATACTTCAAACTTTATTTAAGTATCACTCACATGTTCTATAGTATTTTTTTCAATAAAAATTAGTTTTAAACCCTACTTGATATACATGGACTATTGAATCAACTTTCATTAACATTTTTATTGATCATTTTAAGTTACAAGAAATTTATCTACACATTCTATCACATGTATTAACACATAAACATAATGCTCATGACATGTTTTAGTAAATGATTTACGGTGTAACACCGAGGGTGTTACAGAAGCAACGAGCTCATAACACATGGTTGACTAAGGGGGATCGGAATATTGGTTTTTTCCATGCCTTCGCCTCTAAAAGGAAAAGAAAGAATTATGTGAAGAAGCTAAGGAATGAAGCTGGAGATGTGATAGTGGGGGATCAACTAAAGAGTTTTATTGCTAATCAATACAACAATTGTTTCTCTCAGGTACGGGTGATCATTTTGATGAGGTGTTGCATTGTGTTGATCGTAGAGTCACACGAGAAATGAATAAAGTCTTATTTGAGCCTTTTACAGGAGATGAAATCTGGAATGCCCTTGACAGCATAGGTGATTTGAAAGCTCCCGGTGCCGATGGTATGCCCTCTATTTTCTATAAGAAATTTTGGTCTGTGATTGGGGACCAAGTGATAAAAGAAGTGCTTGCTGTTCTTAATGGGGGACCATTTCCAGAAGGCTGGAATGATACTATTATTGTGCTAATCCCAAAAACTAATACACCGCAAATGCTTAAGGATCTTCGGCCTATTAGTTTGTGCAATGTGCTCTATAAGCTTATATCAAAGGTTCTGGCCAATAGATTAAAAAAGGTCATGCCTAGTATTATATCCAGCTCTCAAAGTGCCTTTGTCCCAGGCAGATTAATCACAGACTGTTTTGCTAGCTTATGAAATAGTGCATCTTTTAAAATCTAAAAAGAAGGGTGCTGGGGGACTAGCTGCCATTAAGCTAGACATGAGCAAGGCTTATGATAGAGTAGAATGGAGCTTCTTGGAGAAAATGATGAGAAAAATGGGATTCCATGAGAGATGGGTACAGCTTATTATGAAATGTGTTTCCACAGTTGTTTACAAAATTAAAGTAAATGATTCATACACTCAAAGAATATTCCCTCAAAGGGGATTAAGACAAGGTGACCCCCTCTCACCATACTTGTTTATTATTTGTGCAGAAGGACTATCGGCTATGTTACAGAAAGCAGAACACGAGGGGAAGATTGAAGGTATTAAGATATGCCGGGGTGCACCTAAAGTTAATCACTTGTTTTTCGCTGATGACTCCTTGATTCTAATGAGGGTGAGGGCAAGTGATGCACTGGAACTTAGACGTACACTGGAGGTTTATGAAAAGGCTTCTGGGCAGGTTATCAATAGAGAAAAATCATCAATAATGTTCAGCCCTAATACAGGGCAACATGACAGGGGTCTGATGAGATCAAATCTATCAATCATAGATGAAGCTAGCACTAAAAAATATTTGGGGTTGCCTGTCACCATTGGGAAATCAAGGAAAAAACCTTTTGAATGCATAAAAAGGAAGATTTGGGGCAGAATCCAAGGCTAGCAAGAGAAACTTCTTTCAAAAGCTGGGAAGGAAAATCTTATTGAGGCTGTGGCGCAGTCCATCCCAACTTATGCCATGTCTTGTTTTGATCTCACTAAAGGTTTATACGATGAATTGAGTAGTATCATTGGGCGGTACTGGTGGAGCCAGCAGGATAAAGCAAATAAAATACACTGGATTAGTTGGGAAAAATTAACCAAGTCAAAGAAAAAGGGGGGTCTTGGTTTTAGAGACCTCCATTTATTCAACTTGGCTATGCTTAGTCGACAAGCATGGCGGTTGCTTACTAATCCAGACTCATTGTGTGGACAGGTACTGAAGGCGAAATATTTTTCCACGTTCAGATATTCTCCATTGTTCTTCTAGACCTGGTATACCATACGCATGGAGAAGTATTCTAAAAGGGGTTGCTTTGCTGAAAGAGGGGATTATTTGGCGAATTGGTAATGGCAAAAATGTGAGAATTTGGGAGGACCCATGGCTACCAAAGGGTATCACAAGGAAACCAATCACACCACGGGGAGCTTCTTTATTGACTAAAGTGAATGAGCTTATTAACCCAGTGATAGGTGAATGGGATGAGCAACTTGTTAATGATTCCTTCTGGCCACAAGATGCAGAGGAAATACTACGGATTCCAATTGATGAGCATATGGAGGATTGGCCAGCATGGCATTTTGATGCTACAGGATTATTTTTAGTAAAATCGGCCTATAAACTTGCTGTGACAATTAGAGATGCTAACAGAGGTGACGATGCATCATCATCAAAGAATGAAGTAGGTGAAGAGGGTCATTTTAATTGGCTTAAAATATGGCAGCTTAAAGTCCCCAATAACATCCTACCGGTAAAGAGTAATGTGGCAAGACGAGGGGTGCTACTTGACACTATATGCCCAATGTGCAAAAGGCTAGATGAGGATTGTGGCCACCTGTTCTTCAAATGTAAGTATGTGAAGAAGTGTTGGCGCCTCATGAATCTGGAGGGTGCTAGAGTAGAGTTAATGAAATGTCAATCGAGGAAGGAAACTATACAGAAATTATGGGAACTAGACAAGACCATACAACTAAACGTTGTGGTCTTATTATGGAGATGGTGGTCAGCAAGGAACAAAGTTAATGATGGAGGGAGGATGCAGAGTGAGGCCGAAATCCAAAGTTCGGTCACCTTTTTCTCAATGGAAAAGGCTTATGATAAAATACTAAGGAATGTTATGTGGTGGGCTTTGGTCAAACATAAAGTCCCAACTAAGTACGTCGGGCTCATTAAGGACATGTATAACAATGTTGTGACTAGTGTTCGAACAAGTGATGGAGACACTGATGACTTCCCGATTAGGATAGGACTACATCAAGGGTCAGCTTTGAGCCCTTATCTGTTTGCCTTAGTGATGGATGAGGTCACAAGGGACATCCCTTGGTGTATGCTTTTCGCGGACGGTGTAGTGCTAGTTGATGAAAGCTGGACATGAGTGAATCAGAAACTGGAGTTATGGCGGGAGACTTTGGAGTCCAAATGTTTTAGACTCAGTAGAACTAAAACTGAGTATATGAGATATAACTTCGGCACTACTACTCGGGAGGAGGAAGATATTAGTTTGGAAGGTCAAGTAGTGCCTAGGAAGGATTCATTTCGATATTTAGGATCAATGCTACAGAGAGACGAGAATATTGATGAAGATGTTAGCCATAGAATCAAAGTAGGGTGGATGAAGTGGCGCCAAGCATCTGGTGTCCTATGTGACAAAAGGGTACCACAGAAGCTAAAAGGCAAGTTTTATAGACGGCGATTAGACCTGCTATATTGTATGGTGCAGAATGTTGGCCTACGAAAAGACGACATGTTCAATAGATAAGTGTCGCGAAAATGCGTATGTTGTGTTGGATTTGCGGTCATACGAGAAGGGATCGAGTTCGGAACGATGATATACGTGATAGATTAGGGGTAACACCAATTGAAGAAAAGTTTGTCCAACACCGGTTGGGATGGCTTGGACATGTGCGACGGAGACCTCCAGAGGCACCGGTGCGTAGTGGAATCCTAAGCCAGGATAGTAACGTGAAGAGAGGCAGAGGAAGACCGAAGTTGACTTGGGTAGAGGCAATAAAAGGAGACTTGAAAGGATGGAATATATCCAAAGACTTAGCCTTAGATAGGAGTGCTCGGAAAACAGCTATTCACGTGTCTGAACCTTGATTGCTTCTGTTGTGTTTTAACTCTAGCCTACTCCAACTTATTTGGGACTTAAAGGCTTTGTTGTTGTTGTTGTTGTAGTAGTAGTAGTTGTAAAAAAAAATGCACCCCACGATCACACACTCATGGAAACCTCCGCCTGATGGCTTCTATAAGATTAACACTGATGGATCATATAATCTGAATAGCAGATCTGGAGGATGGGGCTTTGTGATAAGGGATACAAATGGAGATGTATGCTGGGCAGGGGCTGGTAATATCACCCGGGCAGCATCTGCTTTGCAAACCGAAGCAATTGCGGCACTCAAGGCAATCCAGCAGGCTGTTCAACTTGGGATGACACACATTATTCTAGAGATGGATGCCTCAGTGCTGGCTTCAACTAAGCGTCGTGGGATGTTTAGTACGTAAGATTCAAGATCTCATGCAAATAGAGTTCTTGTCTTGTAATGTTGTAAAATGCAATAGACTTTGTAATAAGGTTGCTGATTGTTTAGCAACCTATGGAGCATGTTTGTTGGCTTCTGGCTCCGATGTGTTTTGGTGCCGAGCCCCGGAGTTTGTAACAGAACTCGTTAATGGCGATTTGCCTGGGCGTCATGCCTAATGCAGTTGTGTTTCCCTATCAAAAAAGAAAAAACGATGGGCCTTGAGCCCGGCCTGTAGTGGAATTGGCCCATACCCCATCCAACGGCTAGTCAAAGCGACTAGTGACCGTTGCCGCTTCCGCTCCGCCAGTCTACCTTTCCCACTTCCTTCCCTAATCCCTTCCCTTCCCTTCCCTCGATCGAGGCTCGGGGAGAGATCGAGATCGGGATCGGGATCGAGAGATCCAAGGAGGCGACGCGGCGGAGGCAACCACCTCCAGTAATCCACCATGGCGCTCGCGGCGCCGGCCTCGGACGCCAAGCCGCGCCTCAATGTGCCACCGTCCATGGCGGCCGCGCTCCGCCTCGACCCCGTGGGGCTGGGGGCGGGGCCCTCGACACCGTCCCCCTCCCGCCGCCTCGCCGAGCCCCCCAAGACGCCCTCCCCGTCCAAGACCACCTACAGCGACCGCTTCATCCCCTGCCGCTCCTCCTCCCGCCTCCAGAACTTCGCGCTTCTTGACTCCCCTCTCTCCCCGGCCAAGGACGACACGCCCTACTCCCGCCTCCTCCGCGCCGAGCTCTTCGGCCCCGATTCGCCCAAACCCACCTCCGCAGCATCCGCCTCGCCCAACACCAACCTCTTCCGCTTCAAGAAAGACCACTCCGCGCCCACCTCCCCCTTCGCCAAAGCCGCCGCCGCCGCGCACCATGACTGCATCGCGGGCTCCGGAGACGCGCCGTCGCCGCAGAAGCCACCCAGGAAGGTCCCCAAGACGCCGCATAAGGTAGGCAACACAGCTTCATTTCCTTCTTTACTCCTTGACAATCCCACAAACACCTCGTGGGCAGGGCAACTGATTAATTCTGCCGCGTCTCTTCGTACGCCACCAGGTCCTGGACGCGCCATCCCTGCAGGACGACTTCTACCTCAACCTCGTGGACTGGTCCTCGCAGAACGTGCTCGCCGTCGGCCTCGGCACCTGCGTCTACCTATGGTCTGCGTCCAATAGCAAGGTACTGTCTCAGCTATACAAACAAGATTGCTGCTGCATACTGTATGCATATGTACTATATTATGATAATGACACTGATGGATTGGATGACACCCCCTAACCCACCAAACAACATCCAGGTCACCAAGCTCTGCGATTTGGGGCCCAGGGACAGCGTCTGCGCCGTGCATTGGTCACGGGAAGGCTCTTATCTTTCCATTGGCACCGGCCTTGGAGATGTCCAGGTTTGCCTTGCTTTGCTTTCTCCATTACCATGCCGCTACTGCAATAGCAGTCAGTTCAAACCTAGTACCAAATGGAAAATGTTCAAATTATTCACTAGTGGAGTTCCTTATCTGAAAATCTGGACTGATATATCTCACGTGGTTCACAACTGCACAATAATGCATTCAACCAAAAATTTAATCACAGGTTACACTTTATATAGAGCTAAAAGTTGCAGCTTTATTTAGCTAGCAGCTTAATATGGCATCGCATATGAATTGCTTCATTTGGTATGACGTATGACCGTACAGATACACGCTTATTCGGACAACTTGTCTGACAACCAGTTTACACCCCTGACTCAAACGTGCCAGATTTCATCGCAAATTTCAAACTCTTAGGGGGTGTTTGGATATTCCATGGATATGATGTATTGACGTATAAGTAACTCTGATACTTGAACAGATTTGGGACAGTTCTCGCTGTAAACAGATTAGAAATATGGGAGGTCACCAAACACGGACTGGGGTATTAGCATGGAGCTCATGCATCTTGTCCTCAGGTAGCAGGGACAAGAACATATTGCAGCATGACATCCGTGTCCCCAGTGACTATATCAGCAAGTTTTGTGGTCATAGATCAGAGGTGAGATTTCCACGACATAAATAGCGTCCTGGCAAATATTTCAATCACTGTGCAAAATAAAAAAGGCATCTTGTCTGAGGGTTTTGGATCTCAGACCTTTGTGTGAACGTAATTGTCAGGTTTGTGGACTCAAATGGTCGCATGACGACCGTGAGCTTGCCTCGGGCGGAAATGACAACCAGTTATTAGTGTGGAACCAACGATCGCAACAGCCAGTGTTGCGGTTGACAGAACATACTGCCGCTGTTAAAGCAATAGCGTGGTCACCACATCAGCAAGGACTCCTGGCATCAGGAGGTGGAACAGCTGATAGATGCATCAGGTTTTGGAACACGGCTAATGGAAATGTTCTGAACTCAATTGACACAGGCAGCCAGGCAAGTAGTAGTTCTGACCACTATTGATCTCTCTGCTGTGTGGTGCTGCTATCCTCATCTTTTGCTTTCTGTTGCAGGTTTGCAACCTTGCGTGGTGTAAAAATGTGAATGAGCTTGTGAGCACACATGGGTATTCCCAAAATCAAATCATGGTGTGGAAATATCCATCCATGTCAAAGGTGAGCTTATATGTTGTGGATCTAAGTACTTAGCATCTCCTGATATATCAGTAAGCCAGCCGTACACTGCATCCTTTGGATACAATTATAGAATGACTTCCAATCTGCGCAACACAGTCTTTCTCGGCTTGCTTCTGAAATATAGTAATTTCTTTCTATGGGATGATACATTGAATTAAGGAATGCTTAAAACAACAGTGAAACTTAAAGCAAGCAATGAAAACCATTTGCTGTATAATACCATTGATAGCATGTTTAGTTCCACATCAGTTGATCAGTAAGAACATTGTCATATAATTGTGCCCTTTTGGTATGAGGCATCAAAAGCCCTCCATGGTGTGACTCCATATGCAAGTTATTAATTAGATTCGTCTTGGATTCCACGCCAAAGATGTAATATTTTTTCTGTGGGCTGAGACATTGACTTGCGAGCAGCTGAAAACACAATAGAAATATAAACTGGGCAATGAAAACCACTTGCTGTGCACCGTCCACAGGTTATGTGCTTCTTAATAAACAGTGTTTGTAGTGATATCATTTGTATGGTGTAACTTATACAGTTTACCAGGGGCCATATCTTTTGAACCTAATTTCACCGACTATTGGATTGTTTGGGGGGCAAACAGGTTGCAACTCTAACCGGACATACGATGCGTGTGCTTTACCTTGCGTCGTCGCCTGATGGACAGGTAAACCTGAATGCAGTTAGTTTGTACATTGTTTTAATGATGAACCCAGAAACTACTATCTATCTCGTTGAGGAGAGCAGCTAAGATGGTGGTAACAGGAGCAGGCGACGAAACTCTACGGTTCTGGAACATATTTCCATCAGTTAAAACACAGGTAGGCAATAATTCGTAAGGTTGAGAATGAATTAATGGGAGTTGTGAATGCAGCATTCCTGACCCCCTGATGCATGGTGGTGTGTTTTCGTATTCAGACTCCTGTGCGTGATATTGGGCTCTGGTCATTCTCAAGAAGCCACATCCGGTGAGGAGCAGAGCGTGCCTGGAGGACCAGATGGGAGGCAAACAAGATGTTGTAGTGATACAGACATAGATGTTTGTTTTATTGAGTGATTTTTGTATATTGTGAGGCCTGGTAATTCATTGATTCTTTTTGTTGTTTATGTGTGTAAAAGACAGAGGAACTGAACTGTAATCTGTAAGTGACATTAACTTAACCAGTTGGACTGTAACTCATCAACTAGGAAAAAAAAATGATAAGTGTTGTGACGATGCCTTACCTGTATCAGTATCATCACAAAATAAACTTGTACAAGGCCGTAACAATCAAATATACTTGAATAGTTTGACTTGTGATGCGGTGGGTCTTGTATGTGTTGATGACTGATGATCCCTTCAAGCCAAAGCATTGATTCTTTTTGAGCTGTAATAGCTTGTGCACTGATTCTTTTTTGAGCTGTAAGAGCTTGTGCATTGATTCGACGTACGCTATATTTGACCTGTAACTTGTGTACTGATTCTATCTTGCTCCTCCCCCTTGATGTCTCTAGAAATAGGTGGTACAATAGATGAGGCAAAGGGTAGGGGGTATTAGAATCAGATGCTGTGTTGAGTGTTTCCTTCCTTGTCATGTCCAGAAACAAGAGCTGAACAAGTGATGACAAAGGACTGGGAATGCAGAATCTGGTGACAACAAGGTTGGGCTATGATGGCCTATGGCACACGGCATGCTTGAAGCTGCTGCTCCCTGGCCCCTGCTGCTAGTGTTGGACTTGTTGGCACACGGCAGACACCAAGGCAGCAAAGGAATCCGTTGTCCTGAATTCCTGATGTAGTACGTGTAAATTGAAGGGGGAAAAGTCCCCAGCAAGGAAGAAGGATGTGGTGCGGTGGCTCGATTCCAGCGTTACACGCGGCGGCAACAGAGGGCACCGACGCATCGCATCCCATATGGTACTGTATTTTTCAATCAATCAACACGTACGTACTCTATTCGTGCGCCTTGATAAAAAACAGATCAGCTCTCCCTCGCTTCCCCCTCCTGCATTCCGTTCCACCCATTCCGCGCCGGCGCCTCCAATCCTCACCCAGACAGACCCAGCTCCCTTCCTTCCTTCCCATCTGATCTAGTCTACTAGGGGGAGACTAGAGGATCGAATCCCTGCAGATCAGGTCATGCCTGCAAAGTGAGGTTGAGGTCCCTCGTCTTCGCCCTCCTTCGTCGTCGTCGTTGCTGTTGCTTCCCCTTCCGCCGCCGCGGAAACTAAATCTGGTAATGGAAAACATTCGCCAGCTTAACAATCTCTTCTCGTCCCCTTCGTCGCCCCCCAAAGACTTTTCCTTTCAATAACTAATTTATTTAGGTCACGCCTAGCCTAGGAGGACGCCAGCCACGCAATAATTTTGTGCCATTGCTTCAATTCCTTCGGGATCTTGTTATTTCTTGTTTGCTTAGATTAGATCCAGATCGCAGCGTTCCAGTTCTAGAGCTTCCCCACCAAAAAAAAAAAAGTCTATGCCTTGTTCCATTGCTATTGCGGAACGGAGTGCGTAAAACATTGGTCTCTTCTTGTTCCGCAGCACAGGATCGAAATGGAGCTCGACGGCAAGTACAGCAAGGACCAGAGCCTCAAGTGCGACTGCCTCCTCTTCGGTATGTATACAGTATATACTGCCTCCTCTTTACATGCTCATGCAGTCATGCTCATCAATCAATCGCACAAACACAAATCAGTCAATAATCTTTATTACTTGTCTTGTTATCTACTAGACCTTGATGACACGCTATACCCGTTCAACTCCGGCATTGCTGCCGACATCATGAAGAACATCCAAGGTACACTACATATACAGCTAGCCCTTGTTAGTTATCACAGTCCATCTCCTCCTCCTTCCTGTGTTGCAAGGGGTCAGTCACTGCTGTTGTATGCTGATGAGACTGTGCTCTTCAGATTATATGGTGCACAAGCTCGGTGTTGAGGAGTCCATAAGCTTGGAGCTATGCGTCCTCCTCTACAAGCAGTATGGAACCACGATGGCTGGCTTGAGGGTGCGTTCTCTTCAATCGCAGAATAAAACCATCTCATCTCATTTCATTTCATTGCTTTTGCTTCTGCTTTTTTCTTGTTGCTTCCAGGCACTAATATTAATAAACATTGCTTCTTGCTATCTTGTTTGTTCTGTTAATAATAGGCTGTTGGGTACCAGTTTGATTACGATGACTACCACAGGTACTGGACTCTGCCCAGATTTGATTTTCTTTTCCAGATAAAGTTTGTCCAGTAATTTTGGAACAGGGCATTTCAGGTTCCCTAATGCTCCCGCTTAATTCCTGTGCAGCTTTGTTCATGGGAGGTTGTCTTATGACAAAATCAAGCCTGATCCTTAGCTTAGGAACATCCTCCTGAGCTTACCCATTCGCAAACTTGTATGTGGCATGGCAACAACTCAGATAGTATTTCTTCCACAGCAAAACAAGTACTTGTTCATATTGGCTTGGCTTTTGTGTAATTCTATTTCTACAGGTGTTCACAAATGGTGACAGAGCCCATGCTTCAAGGGCCCTGAAGAGGCTTGGGATTGAGGATTGCTTTGAAGGAGTCGTGTGCTTTGAGACACTGAACCCTACATCTCCTCCTGCTCCAGCTGACGAACTTCAAATCTTTGATATAAGGAAGCATCTGGCTCACCCACAGCCTGGAGTGGAGCTACCAAAATCACCTATCCTGTGCAAACCGTCAAGGGAGGCAATGCTGCAGGCTCTCAAGGTCGCATCCATCAATCCACAGACAACTGTAAGCACCTACCTGCTCATCATTGTCAGGCTTGACATCTGATGGCTACCTTCCGTGTATGTTAACAATGCTATGGTGTACCGGTAACTGATTTTTCTTGCTTGCTGAAACACAAACACCTTCCAGATATTGTTCGATGACAGCTTCAGGAACATTGAAGCTGCAAAGCAAATTGGAATACGTACTGTCCTGGTAAGCAAACCGCAGCAATCTCCCTCGTATTTGATGCTAGAGAATTTTGGAGGGTGGCAAAAAAAATGTTACACAAAGGTGATGACTGATGAATGAATGTGACAACCAGGTTGGAACATCTGAGCGGAAAAAAGGTGCTGACCATGCCTTGGAAAGCCTCCACAACATGAAGGAAGCACTGCCTGAGCTGTGGGAAGAAGCTGAGAAGGATGAAGATGTGAGGAATTCGAGCAAAGCCGGAATCGAGACATCGGTGATTGCATGATCTTTTGTTGGTTACAGTGTAGCCCTTTTTGTTTTCCTTGGAGGAGAACGAGGTGGTGGATCATTGTATTTTTGTGCACTGCCTCTTGTACGAAAAAGAGCTACTAATTAGAGGACAAGAAAACCAGCTCCTCAAAGGGGTGGGAGGACTGACTGATACTGATACCACTGATGTTACATCCCATATACTATTATTACTATCCAATAAGAATGCTTGCCCAGTTTTCTTCAACTATCTAGGATGGTTATTTTGTTGGTGTTTAGTTAAAGCAGCTGGATATTTGGATCCAAATGTCAATTTCTTTGCTACTTGGTTCTTCATGCTGATGATTGTGGAGTGATGATGTCCTGTTGTCCTTTGATTTACCATTTACTTCATTATAGACGGAATCTCAATGCTAACCTTGATGAAACAAGTTGTTCTTTACCTTTCCCTCCAAACAAAAAGGGTTGTTCTTTGCCCTTGTGCTGATGATCAATACTATCGAAATTACAGTGGGACCGAGCTGCTCTAGATTTCTCATTTGGTGAAGTACCTGGATGAAAACAGTGCTTTCTATGTACATCCATGACAACTAACTCGATCGATTCTACACAACGGTAAATGTCAGAAGTAAGGGCAAATACTTTAGCTCAAGGGCGTGTTCTGTCAGAAGTAAGCCAGACTGTACATTATGAATTTTATTAGAGAATCCATGCGAGCTGCAACCTGCAATGCAACCAACATGAGTTTTCCATTGCTATTAGTGATGTAAAGCAGCGAGATCTCAAGTTAGTCAAGGAAGATCAAGTTTTTTTTTTTTTTTTTGCACATTATTTTTGTGGACCCTTCAGACATTGTTGTCTGGCAAATATGTAAGCCATTTCAACATGTAAGAGCACCTAAAAGGTTCAAATGCTTATACATTACCATGATTATTAAGAATGATAGGTAATACAAAGTTACAAGCAGCAAAACTAAGGTACAAGTACAACACAAGTTCTGAGTCAGAAATGCAAGCAGCAGACAACATTATACAACATTGCTAACAGAGGGGTTAAAAAGTGCTTTAACTTTTACTGTACAGATCTCCGCGGCCCATTGCTATTGGGCAGAGCAAACAAAAAGTCGAGATGGAGAATCCCATGTCTATCAAGTGTAAGTCCCGTTGCCTGCTATTCAGTTTGCCCAGCCGCAGATGAATATGCTATATTACGAGGCCACCCGTTCGATGGCAACTTTAGCAGCGTTCCTACAATGAATATATGTATTGATTTATTCTTCACTGAATACTGCCTTACCTTTTCTATGAACTGAACAACAATATCAAACTAGCTATACATAGGGGTGAATGTAGAATGTACTCACGATTAGCATGGTATGATCGGAGGATTTTGCTAGCCCTTTAAGTGGAAATTCCTGATTCTTTGACTGACCTTGTGTATGACTTCGATCAATGCTATTTTCACTTCTGGAATCCAGTGATAACGCTGAGAATGATGAAGATGTTATGGATAATACGTCAGGGCAAAAGGAGCTTGACAACAGATTTCCTGCAAAAAGCACAACCATAACTCTGAATAAATAGTAATGACGAGTTAGTTGCTACATATACAAACCACCAAATATTTACGCAAGTTGAAAAGACTGGAACCTATGTTTAAAATTTACAAACCACCAAATGTTTATTTTTTTTTAAAACAACTACCACAAACTATGTCCAATACTCCTGAGCCTGGAACCTATGTCATGATTGAAGTTCCATAGTATAGACATTTTTTCTATGAGATAGAACAGGTAATGAGAATATGTAGCATAAAGTACCACTGATTGTAGCAGCCTGGAACCTGTTTCTCATGACCCTCACAAATTTGTACAGATCATTGTTGCAGTTAAGATCCTTCATCAATTCTTCAGTGCCATCCACAAAGGGAACACACCGGACTACTGTTATCAAAGGAAAAGGAACTTCAACATCTATGCACAAATGTTGTCAAAAAAAAACATCTATGCACAAATGTAATCATGTGACATCTACTACAAGTATCAGATGGCTCAGCTAAGAAACTTGCAACTCACAGATGTATCTTTCTTCAACAAGCTTTACGCAAAAAGAATACTCCTTGTCAGGACTTTGCACATCAATTTTGTTGAACACAAATTTCACCCCTGGCAAAAAAGCTATGTGTCAAATGCTATTGCATCAATCTAATATACTAATTAACCATGTCATTAATATTTCCATTACCTTCTCCTCCAACAACTTGAAAACCAAGAAACTTATTGTACCACATAAGAGCATTCTCTAGGTTCTTATCCCCATCTGTGTCACTCTCAGCTTCAAGGGATTCAATAGCTGCCATCAAATCAGATTTACTAAGGCATATAGGTTTCAGAATATGTGTATCCCAGGAAAATGTTCAAAAAAAGGGAAAAAGAATTAAGTTTACAATAACAGAGATATAGTGTATATACATCAAAGTAAACCTAGATTTTTTAGAAGCGTCAGAAATTGTTTCATTTGTATCTAAGAGATCAATAAAACCCCTCAAACTGAGCTTTTGTAATTTTGAAATCTAAATAAAGCACTGCTAATTGAGTATTTAGTTTAGAACAGATACCAGGGACCATTGGTGTAAATAAGCAAAACAGGGGTTTCGTTAATAAATAAAAAAACAGGGGCTTCGTCAATATAAAGAAGCCCCCATAATAAATCCTGAAACAACTACACTGTGACATACAGAGCTAAAGAATCACCAAGGCTTCCATGATACGTGGATTGGAAAAAAAATGTCATGAAAGCTGAATACCACAAATGGTACCTAGTTGACAGAACAATCAGTAACTACAATTACCTTTGATTTGATTTGATATGGCATTCGTGCATTCATCTCTTGTAGCCCTACGGTCCATAACCAAGCGTCTGAGCTGCTCATTTGTTGAAGTGGTGTTTGAAATCGACTCAGTCATGCGCTTATGTTTTGACCTTCTGCTTGTTTGGACTGCGGGGGAGAAAACTTCCATGAGCCGAGATTGACAAAGAAACCAGGAGGCTAGTATGGAACCAAGCAGTAGAAAGAACAGAAAATTGGCACAAGTAGGATACCGTTAGCATGTATAAGAGGAACAAAATGAAATGAAGATGAAAACAGACAATGGTAGAAATAATTAACCAATGCAGCATGACATTGCCATGTATACAAAAGGAAGAAGGATGATGATACATTTCACTATTATTACATGAACAAATGAACCCGATTGAAAAGCGCATGGAAATGAGGAAATGCTTGTGCAGTTGTGCTCACCGAAGAGGGCCTGTGCTAGATCTGATTCTAATTTCCGGAGGTGTTGTTTTTGTTCGCTGAGTTTTGCTGCCATTCCAAAAACACACATATGAGTAAAGTAATTTTGCAAATAATATTGAGCTTAAACAACTATAGATAGATAAGATACTAATGGCAATTGTTGTACTGAAAGGCAACGACCAAAGCTATTTGTCAAATTGATGACTGCTATTAGTTCTTGATGAATTAAGCAACGACCACCTTGAGACTTGACAGAACACCTTTAGCAATAAATGAGTACTATTACTAGGCAGGTGCTTGGTCACCTGAGAGGCCTTGTTTAGTTTCTCCCCCTAAAGTTTACTCCCTATCCCATCGAATGTTGAACACATGCATGGGGTATTAAATATAGACTAAAAAAATAACTAATTGCACAGTTTGCGACTAATTTGTGAGACGAATATTTTAAGCCTAATTAGCCCATGATTTGACAATGTGGTTCTACAGTAACACATGTGCTAATGACGGATTAATTAGGCTTAATAAATTCGTCTCGCGGGTTACTGACGGATTCTGTAATTTGTTTTTTTTTTATTAGTATCCAAACACCCCTGCGACACCATATGACACCCGATGCGACACCCCAAACTTTACACCCTGAATTTAAACGAGCCCTAGTGAGATCTCAGTACAAGCCCAATATAGTAGTGGCAGAGTCGAGCTCCCTGGTAGAAATGCGGACTAGTTCTAGGAGCCTCTGTGGTGGATTCTGGATTGGATGTTGGCTCCTTTGCTCCCCCACAGAATAAGAAAAAAAAAACACTAACCCTAGCGGACCCGGTTGATCCATTATGCTAACTAAACCATAGATTGGAGGGCGAAGCCCAAGCAAAAACAAAAACAGGCGAGTAGTAGAAGTGGGGGCGAAGAGGTTGATATGCCTCGGTTGGAGACGGTCTGGTTGGCGATGGAGCGCGCCACGAGGAGAGCGGCGTTGAAGGCGGAGGAGGCGGCGGCGGCGCGGTCCCGGGAGTCGGTGATCCGGCGCCCGATGGCGGCGCGCTTCTCCTTAATCCTCCGGCGCAGATCGGCGGCGGCGTCCGCCATGGCTGCTGCAGGGGCGGCTAGGCGTTGGAGAAGCGGGGAGTGGCTGGAGGAGCCTCGAGTTCGAATTTCCTTGTGGGGGAAAAGAAAAAGAAAAAAACACGTCATCATCCTTGTTCCGTTGTTCCTTCTCGTGCAAGGAGGAAGACCGACCGAATTCGTCGGCTTTTGGGCTGGGCTTTCTTGGACTGGGCATGGCGCCCAAATAGGCCAAAAGGTCAAGATTGGGCTCCTCGGCTCCTCCCCTATGCATGCATATGGGCTCAATCTTCAAGCAGGAAGGAGGGCGAATTAGTGGGCAACAAAAGCAAAAAGACCCTTCTAAAAAAACTATCGCCGTTATATATTTTACTTTTTATTGATCACTAAATAAGATAACATCTTATCCATCAACTCTTGAAATCATTTAAATCACCTCCCTATCCTTGTTAGAAGTAGTTTTTATGCGTTTTCTTGCTCTTCTTAGTCGAAAAAATTGGATAAATATCTAATAATATTTTTAAACCATAAAAAATATCTTTTTTGCGTTTACCATGAAAAATATCTAATTTCAAGAAAAATCCTAGATATGCATTAGTACAACAAAACCCCATTAAAATATTTATAACTCTTGGAAGCATATCTAAAAGCTAAAAATTAGATTGAAGTCTAGAATGATAAAAAAAATCTAAAAATTGATTGAACATAATAATGGATCTCTAAACATGTTTTAAATATTTACACAACAAAAACACGAATGCTGCATTCTTGTTGTTTGCTTTCATATTTTTGTTATATAAAGTTTTCAAAGCACATTTAGACATCAATTAGAATGCTTTGGTTTTTTGTAGTTTTTTATATATTTTTCCAAAATTTTAGAGCTAAAATCATGAGCTATAAATATTTTATTTGATTTTTTACTATCTCAATATACCTATAGGGTTTTTCCTCAGAATTTTTACAATCTTAGAGACCCTTTTCGTGGTTTTAAAACGTTATAGATATTTACTACTTTTTTTAATAACTACTTCCTCCATCCCAAATTATAAGACGTTTTGGCATTTCTAGATTCATAGTTTTTATTATGTATGTAGACATAATATGTATCTAGGCACATAGCAAAAGTTATAAATATAGAAAAACCAAAGCGTCTTATAATTTGGAATGGAGGAAGTAATAAAAAGGATGAACCCGTGTTGAAAAGCACCTGTAGCCTGGATATGGAGGTAATTTACATTGTTTTGATAGTTTGGGGGAGAAGTAAGACATAGAATTTGAGGAGAAAAAAAAACCACCACGACAATAATTGAGGGAGTTTAAAAGGCTGCAGCGAAACATGTGGGCTACTTTGCAGGAAAGCGGTCACCCATCAGGAGGGCATGTGTCCGGTTGGGAAAAAAATTCGGTGCAGCCTGGCTGCACCCTCTCGCTGTGCAGACCTGCTTGGATCTGGTGACACGTGTCCCAGGAAATCTATCACACGGTCAGGAGGTGGAGTTTTTAGCCTGAGGAGCTTTTAGTTACCTATTTTTAGAGCATCATCTGGGCGTGTGATAGATTTCCTGGGACATGTGTCACCAGATCCAAACATGTCTGCACAGGCTGCACCGACGTGGTTACGGGCACAATTGATCAAACCTGCAAATAATCCGTAGCACTCATTTTTTCAAATGTACTACTACTGTAGTACTGTAATTATTGCAGTGAGCTGGCCTGCGTTAATTAAGGCCTCGTTCGCTTGTCTTAAATTTGGCTTGTTCGACTTATTTTTTCAGTCGGAACAGTGTTTCCCTCTCATACCAATTCAGCCGGAACAGTGTTTTTCAGCCAGTTTCAGCCAAAATTCAGACCATGGGCCTAAGTAGTAAGAAGAAAACTCTGGTAGTCATACTCTTTTCTTTTGCGATGAACCTTTTTTCCTCTCTTTTTTTTTTAAATAAAACCCCCTTCATTTCAGCTGAGATGAGATGAGCTTGGCTTGTGTCCACCTCACCTCGATGACTAGCATATATATATCGATGAGAGGACACAAGCAAAGAGGCCTGGCTGTGTTTCTCATCCCTCATCATCACGGCTACATCCGCTCGGATCCCAATCCCATCCAACAACATTATAGCACGCAGCAGCGTCGGTCCCCGCGCCCGGTAGTGTGCCTGCTGCTGCCTGCGCATGAACAAGTGCCCACTTCCCCTCCACCGACCGGCGATCCCTTTCAGTCTTTCACCAGGCCACCGCGCGCCAGCCACCATGTGGATGTGGTGCAGCCGCAAGCGCATGCGCAGGAACAATGATCTGCTGCTTGCCATTGTCATCCTCCTCCAGGCCCGGGCATCAGCTGGGCCGGCGGCCGGCGCAGGGTACATGGGCGGCGGGCCGTGGCAGAGCGCGCACGCCACCTTGTACGGTGGCAGCGACGCGTCGGGCACCATGGGCGGCGCCTGCGGGTACGACGACCTCTACAGCGAGGGATACGGCGTGGAGACGGGGGCGCTCAGCACGCCGCTCTTCAACAACGGACTCACCTGCGGCGCCTGCTTCCAGATCAAGTGCAGCTCCGGTTCCAGCAGCAGCGGCGGCTGCCACCCCGGGAGCCCCTCCGTGGTGATCACGGCCACCAACTTCTGCCCGCCCAACTACGCGCTGCCCTCGGACGCCGGCGGGTGGTGCAACTCGCCGCGCCACCACTTCGACCTCTCCATGCCGGCATTCCTCCGCATCGCAGACTACCGCGCCGGCATCGTCCCCGTCACATACCGGAGGTACGTACAGTACGTACGTAGGCAGACAGAGACAGGCCATCCGTCGTCAATCTCTCTGCAGGACGGACAGATCATGCATTGCATATGGATTGCGAATTACTACGTACTACTGATGTATGTGATCGATGCAGCTAAGTAGTACTGTGTACTGAGCGCAGGATGCTCGTGAGCTTTAATTTTCTTCTCGTCCTGATACCGATCCCAAGAATGCCAGCCCCCGGCCTCTACAAGCTTTCCTTACCTTGTGTGTGCAGGGTGGCGTGCCGCAAGTCCGGCGGCATCCGGTTCAGCGTCAACGGCTTCCGCTACTTCAACCTGGTGCTGATCAGCAACGTGGGCGGCGCCGGCGACGTGGTCCGCGCCGCCGTCAAGGCCTCGCACACGGAGTGGCTGCCCCTGGCGCGCAACTGGGGCCAGAACTGGCAGTGCAGCTCCATCCTCATCGGCGGGGCGCTCTCCTTCCGCGTCACCACCAGCGACCGCCGCACCCTCACCTCCTGGAACGTCGCCGGACCAGCCTGGCGCTTTGGACAGACATTCACCGGCAGCAAAAACTTCAGGATCGCCGCCGCCCCCTAGGCGGCCCTAGCTCACCATCGTGTCAGGCATCACCTGATCACCCTAGCTAGAGCTAGCTACCTGCATGCTCTATTGCTCTCGATCCGGATATATTATGCATTCAGCTGAAGTGGCTCTCCTTCTAGCTAGCAGCCTGCACTGTACGACGGCCGGGCAGAGACGTACGGTGTAGCATCATCAGCCCGCAGCGAAGCTTATAATAAAAATGGTTTACTTATACACACCATCCATGCTGCACACTAATCATCCATCATTATTTATTATATATAATAATTGTATATGTACTGCCCGTGCTGTATGTATATGGAGGATACCGTATAATTAAATTAGCTTATTGGTTCTGCTTTAATTCTCGGTTCTTCATTGCTGATGACTATCTGTAAGAAAGATGGGTTCTATAATATCTGAGACAAGCATAGCAACTCATGATATCAGATGGGCACGCGCAGAATGTTCCAAAAATTCTCTAGCAGTATGCATACCTTGCTGTCACTTTACAACACCTACTATTGTTCTCCAGCAGTTAAACGGCGATTTCGTATGCTTGAATTGGCTGCGTCAACCTGATAGGCTCTGTGGAGGGTGACGGTTCAATTTCAAGCAGTGGATTCTTCTGGAACTCATTTCTCAGCTGGCCACAGGCTGCGTTAGCATCAAGCCCACGGGTCTGTCGAACGCTGACGGTTATCTTCCGAGCTTCTAAAGCATCCACAAACGCTTGAACCTAATTTGCAGTTTATTTTAACCATGTAAAAAAGATCAGTAACTCGTTACGAAATAGTCTTTCTTTGTTTATTATAGGACAGAAAACACACATACCACTTTTCTGTAAGGTCTCTTGTACTCGGAGCCTTCAATTGGGTTATAGGGAATCAGGTTCACATGGTAACCACCTCCACAGGTACGAAGTAGTTCTGCTAGCTCCTCGGCAAGCTCCTTTTCATCGTTGATCCCAGCTGGCCAAGAAATTCACTCCAGTCATGTTAGTATCACAAAAACCTAGGCACACAATAGATGAAAGCAATGTGGCTTTGTAATATTTTCTCCTGACATAGATAGATAGATACCTAGCAGAGTGTACTCGAAGGATACCCTGCGCCCAGTTTCAAGGAAGTAATTCTTGCAGTCATCCATCAGTGCTCCCAAGGGGTAAGACTTGGCACTAGGAACAATCGTCTCCCGCAACTTCTGATTTGGGGCATGCAGACTGATTTCAAATATGACAGACTTGTCAGCAACAAATAAAAAGGGCGTACCCAGTGCAGAGAGCTCCCGCTCTGTGTGGGGTCTGGGGAAGGGTGTTAGTGGCAAGCCTTACCCTCGCCTGTGCAATGCGAGGAGACCGCGACTCAAACCCAGGACCTTCCGGTCACAGGCGGTAAGTCTCTACCGCTTGCACCAGGCCCGCCCTTCACTTGTCAGCAACAAATTACAGAAAGAAAAGAAAAAAAAAAAACAGTGCTGCATCTGCTTCTTGGTTCCTTATTATGTGTTGCTGCTCAACCAGAAGTTGTGCAATCAAAGCCTTGAAATAATTATATTCTGATGACCATATATCATACTTAAGTATATTAACAAATTTCAGATAACTAAAATAGGGCTCAGGTTTTGTGACTGGGAGGATTTTTGTAAGCAAAAAATAAGAGCCCTGCAATGTAGCATGGTGACTAACCGCCAGTCCCAAAGGTATGTGAAGTATTGCAGGTTAAGCCATATTCAAATTCGTAATAACATACCTGACTGCCAGTGTTGATTGAAGCTTGTGAGACGCTAGCATTTTTATTGTATTAGGCACACCAACTGTAGATATTGTCATCATCCTTTGCCCGATTTTTAGTTCCTGACAGCAGGAAATTCACGCACTTATTAAAGGTATATGGAGAGTAATTTGTGGTAAATTGTCACATTAAATTGAAAGCGTGAGAGGAACATAGCCTAGTTACTTGTCAACAGACCTTATTGAAGCATCGGTGTGCTTCTAGAACTGACTTCAGGTTCATCATGGGCTCACCCATCCCCATGAACACAACATTTGTCACCCTGTGTTTGAACGTCTCCTCGATGGCCAACACCTGCAATGGCAGAATAATAGAATATTTAATGTTGTAAGCAGCAATGTTACATTGGGAGCTGAAGACAGACAAAGGGATTGCTGAGGGAGGACCTGTTCAACAATCTCATGTGGTTGAAGGTTCCTTGCAAACCCTCCCTTGCCCGTGGCACAAAATGAGCAACGCAGGGGGCAGCCAACCTGTATATGCATTACAAGTGTCAAAAGAAAGAAACATTGGCACAGATACTACCATTTGAATAACAATGCCCAATAGTAGAGGTTCCACTGACAGCACCTGTGATGAAACGCAGGCAGTGAGCCTAGAAGAGCCTTTGTTGTCATCATCAACAGGAATTCCTACTGTCTCAATCAACCGGTTATCCTCCAACTTGAGAAGTATCTACAAGGACGAAGAGAATTGCCATGAGCCCCTAGAGTAGTGCACCTGTAAATGCCAGCAGCATACGAGAACAATGGCAGTGCGCACAGGGCTATTTGCTTGATTACTGATTGACTGTCAGTATATGACCTTGGTAGTGCCATCCGAGGCTGTGACGGCGTGGTGCACTGGTGACCGGCCAACACTCCACCCAGCGCCAAGCAACGCCTCCCGGAATGCCTTGGGCACTGCCAGTGAATACAATCAAGATTTAGACACTACCAGTTGGTTGGTTGAGGGAAGCAAAAGAGCAAACAGGTGGCTTGCATGAACAAAATGAAAGCTCCTGGCGCGGCCCCTCACCCACCGTGGTTGAAATCTTCGATTTGCTTGGCTCTTGATTTGTAGAGGAGATCGTGCAGCTGCTTGCCCCGGTAGCTTTTCTGCGCAAGCGGAATCAAAGATGGGTAAGGCAAAGGCAGGCAGGTAAGGTAACCGAAGCAAACAAAACCTCGCGGGTGCAGTGTACCTGGCCAAGATGGAGGGCGAGCTGGCGGAGCTGAGGCTCCGAGAGGCCGAGCAGCGCGCGGCGGGAAGTCCCCTGAGACTTGATGGGGGCGGTGGCTGAGGCGGTGGCGGTGGCGGTGGCGCGGAGCGCGCCGGCGAGGGGAGCGGCGCGGACGTGCTGGGGAGCAGCCATTTCCTCCTGGATTACCGATGGGGCAGCTGGCTCTTTAGATTTTCTTTTTCTTTTTTCTTTTCACATTGTACCACTATTTGGGCCTCTCTGAAGGGCCCACGTAGGAGCAGATATTTTTGGGCCTCACCTCTGGTTTACCTTTTGTTTTCTGTTCTTGTTTTTTTTTGTTTTTCATTTTCCTCTCTTTTGGAGTACATGTGTGTATCCAGCCAAAAATATACGTTGAGTTATTTTCCTCGTTTTCATAATATAAATAATTACTGTATGTATGTAGCATAAAAAATATGGTGCTAACTGTGCACGCCGACATACAGAGAGAGAGAGAGAGAAGCATTTGCATGCTAATTAAAAGCAGGAGATGGAGGAAGTGACGGCCCTGTTTGCTTGGCTAAAAAGTACCGTTGACTGATTTATTGTGAGCGAAAAATATTATTTCTTGATTAAAAAAGTACGGCTTATAAGACAACATCAACTGATGGTTGAATGATTGATTCATGAATCCACTTGTCTTTAATTAACTACGTAATTAGAGCATCTCCAAGAGTTTCCTAAATTCCCTCATAATCCTTATTTTTAGAAAGATTAGAAAAAAAACCTCTTCAACAACTCCTAATATTTCTTCCTAAAATTTACGCACTTGGGAAATCTTCCCCCGTTCCGCGTAACTTTACGCGGACGTGACCTGGCCTGGATACGGCTTCCCGCGGCGTCCTTCTTCCAGCGCAGCAGCGAGGGCAACGACAGCGATGACCTCCGCTGCTCCTGCGCCACCAGCCGCCTGCGACCCCACCTGTGTCCTCCGCCCGCTCCGCCGCTCCAGCGCCCTCCGCTGGCTGCGACTCCACCTGCGACCTCCGACCGCCCCACGGCGTGGCCGCAACACCCCGCAGCCGCGCCGCCGCGACTTGGTCTGGCAACAGCGCGGAGCCACCCCGGGCCATCTTCCCCACAGACGGCGCCAACTGTCGGTGCAAAAAGTGGTCAACACGTAAATATTTATAGTTTTGCCGTACGTTGTGATCGGAGGTGGCCTAGCACTCAATGACACAGGATTTATACTGGTTCAGACAACGTGCCCTACGTCCAGTTTGAGTCGGTCGGTGACTTTATTCCTGAGCCCAGGTGCTCGAGGTTTGCAGTGGGGTTACAAACGAGAAGGAGAAAGATGGGGGTACAAGAGGTCCGGTCGAACTCTGGTCAGAGGGGCCGAGAGCGACGGAATCTCCGCTATATGTTGTGTGTTCGAGCGTGTAACAGAACCGCCCAATTTATACAAGATCAAGTACGGCTGTCCCCGCTAACACGTTGACACGCACATACTTTCACTCATATAAACCCGGTAGTCCGTCGAGTGTCACGAAGGACCTCGGTAAATCAACATCACAACCAAGATCGCGTGATTAAGCAAATACACATCACATACGTAGAGTTGCAGCGAAAACAATATTACAAATGGTTTCACAAATAATAGTACAAGTTTGGGTTTCAAAACCAATTAGTGAAAACAACATAGTGTTCAAATGATTACATTATTATAAGTTCCAAATACATTGCTAGCATAAGTGACATCCTCAGACAAAAGCATATAGATGAGAAGTAAATATAGAATCACCGAGCCCACCGGCGGTTAGCCACCATCTTCAATAGGCCGAGAACTACACCTGCGACATGGTGGGATAAACCCTGAGTACTCGAATGTACTCAGCTAGACTTACCCGTCCAACTAATATACTAAGACACCAAGGAGTATGCAAGGCTTTATAAGTAGAGCAGGTATACATTATTTGCAGAAAAAGCATAAGTTATCCAACATCTCTTTAAATGTGAATCACCAGTTATTAATCCTATCTCATACTAGATTAGCAACTATCCTATGCCAAACATGTTGGTACCATTAAGTCATCACAATAATAACCATATCCAGTTGAGTTCTTGCATAATCTCATAACCATCATTTCCATCATTTACTACGATGAAGTGTACTCCTGTCAAGTTCTCACTATCCGGGAGAGACGGCGATTCGAATCGATTCCTACCCAGCTGAGGAATTATTCCTAACACACACCCATACTTCCCCCGTCAGGGTCGCATTATGTCACCTTTGGTATAACTCATGAACCAAATTCGCGGGTACGACCAGCGCCGCACAATCAGAGAACCACTATGCCAGGAAGTGCAGGAATTTTAAGCACCTGACCCCTTGGACTCACGCCAATGGCTCTCCGCACATCCTTACTACCATCTAGAGTGCGCACTTTTACCGCTCGTGGTCCCAGCCTGAATTGAGCTACTCGGCTTCGCGGTCGGAACGACTTATCCGACCAACTATGTGAGAGGCTGCGTTCAACATGACAAGATAAACCTCCAACGTCCGGTCCTTAAATGACACAGACGGAATCACTACAATACCACATATAAGACTCCGCCCGGTCTCCATTTATTCAACAATACCAGGTTATGTTCCACGATAGCACAATATAGCCAACCATGATCAAGTTATCACATATAGCTCGCAGGTGACAGAAAATCACCCGACTTCTACCGGTCTAAGCATAGCTAAGCATAATACATGTTCCTGGACTTAAATAGGATTCATGGTAGATATTTTTGGTCAAGGAAGGTAATATGCAGCAAGTGTTTCCAAACAACTCCTGTCACGTAATGCAGCAATACGAATAACTTTAAGTGACATTAATAAAATAGGGAGGCTTATAATGCTCCGGGGCTTGCCTAGGATCCGACACGAGTCAGTTCAGTTAGCTTGCACCGTCTTGGTGACATCTTCGATCCTAGCACTTGCTTAGTCCTTCCATCTTCGAGATAGATCCACCAAACCCAATCTTCGAGTGTGGCTCCACATCACATCCTTCACGTGGTTCATCTAGCGTACCTAAATGAGATGCAAGATGCATGTGTATGAATGTGATGAATGGTAACACAAGATGCATTACATAAGCATTCAAGATAAACACAAGATTATGCAAGACATAGACACCAATAGCTATTTAACTAACATCACACAACTAACTATAGAGAGCAAGCACATCAAGCATGACACAAGTTTAACAAGGTCACAAGTATCATAACTTGACCATCAACAAGGGCATAAGCCACACTTAGCAACACATGGAGTAAACAACCACAACTAGCATCTGTCAATTTCCAGACTGCGAACAACAGCTGCATGTTTGGATCATAACTGGAGTTATACAAATTCAATAGCCATGCAACAAGACATTCTGGAAAGCTTACGAAATCCTCTATATTTCATCTATAACCATCACAGCATGATTCACAAGTTAAGTGGGTCAAAATTATATATTTACAGAAACTGGTCTAAACAAGACAGAGAGCAATCAATTCTGTAACCCAACTTTAAACAGCTGTAACTCTTAAACTACTTGGCCAAATTACACCAAATTTTAACAGAGGCTAGATACATGAATTATCTACAACTTTTGTATAAACAAGTTTCACAACAAAACACATTATCATGAAGAACTTTGCTAAGCTCCCAGATCTGTCCATAAACCACATCGGCAAGAAAATAATTATTAACTTATGTTGCAAACACATAATTGGGCAAAACCAACTTTACCAACATTTCACACATGACTAAAGAACACCAGAATGCATGGTGCTCACCTCTAAATAAATTTTCTTAAAGCATTTCTTAATTTATTTAGATATCAAGGTGTATTTATGAACATATACAAAAAATACACAATAAATTCTACAAAAAATTACAGTAGTTCACATATCCTCTCAATAGTCTACTGTACAAATTTCATACCATTTTCATAAGTATGACTGCCTCTATGAAAAAGATAATTTGTTATTGCAAGAAATCATGTGAGAGCGAGATAAACCAATAACTCACTCATACTTCATCCAATACTCATGAAATTTTTAACACACATCAACTATCACATGAGTAGCATGCCACAAAAATTTCACTTCATTTGGAGCCCTAGATCTGCAATTATAAAAAAGACAAAACACAACTAGCATTAAAACCTAACTGCATAAATCTATTTTTACAGCAAAATATTTAAACTAAAACATGCCATATTATAGATCTACTGCATAGATAATTTCACAAGGATTCCAAAAAATCCACATTTACTATTTTACGATTTTTCTACTAATTACTACGAATTTTCAAAGTTGATCATTCAAATCTGTAAAAACCAAAGTAAAGACATGTAAATCTTGCATCGGGGGTCCTGCAGAAAACATAAATTAAACAACAGTGAATAGGTCCTTTCTAACACTATTCCTCAGAGTCAAGGACTTTACAGATCGACCCTTCTCTTCTCTTGAATTCAAGCGTGAGGTCCTTCCTCTCGGTTCACAGCAGAGGAGATGGCCGGCTTTCGGCTCCGGCGGCCGTGGTCGTCACCAGCGGCGATGGAGTGGTGGGGAAGGACCAGGGGCCCGCACGCACCCGCTGGTGGTCTCGGATGGCTGGGAGGCGGCCTGAGGTGGCTCGGCCATGTGCACCACCGGGCGAAGCGGCAATGACGGCGGCTGCGCAGTGCTTCCAAAGACGGTTCGGGCCGGCGAAAGTGAGCACGACGTGCAGGAGAGGGAGGCGAAAGCTGATGGCGTTGCTCGTGAGGAGCGAGGGGGCTGAGAGAGGGGAAAAACGGTCGCGGCACCGGTGAGCTCGGAGCTCGGCCATGGCGGCCATGGCTCCAACGACGGCAGCGCTGGATCGAACGAGCACGCGTGCGAAGCAAAGAAGGAGCTAGACGGTTGGCCGGGCGAGGAGGACGCATCAAGAAGCAGGAATTGTGCATTTTTGGTATATGTTCATAAATACACCTTGATGTCTAAATAAATTAAGAAATGCTTTAAGAAAAATTATTTAGAGGTGAGCACCATGCTTTCTGGTGTTCTTTAGTCATGTGTGAAATGTTGATAAAGTTGGTTTGCCCAGTTATGTGTTTGCAACATAAGTTATGTTGGTGTTTCGGACCGGGGGGGTCCTCAACCAA